GTGTCGAGAAGAAAGGAATGCAGTAATTCCTTTCCTGTTTGCCGCGTGTTTTTAAAATTGGTGCATTTCAGAAACTGTTATTCTGTTTGTAAAAGTCGTAACTACATTTTTATATTTCCTTCACTCGGCTTAGCCGTATATAATTGGTAATATTTCAGTTGATGCACAGTACAATGCTTGAGTTTTAATATCAAATTCCTCAGAAGTGATAATTATGTTCTGTGGGATTCTCAGGTAAGAGTCCTATTTATGTTGATCTTCGCTGGTGTAGTAGATTGTAAGTTTCAGTGAAAGACGGTAGTGTTGTCCATGATTGTTAGTAGCAAGAGTGTCGTTGCAGAAGCGTAGCCCCAGTTGTTTTCTCCTGTCCTCAGGAGGTAAATCCCACTGAGGTAAAACGATAATATACTGTGAGGTTTCGATTCTTGTCTCATTTGTACTTTTTTTTGCAGATTACTGTGCATCGGTCATTTTGATTTTGTTTGATTGTACAGAGTCACTGCGAAAATTGAGTTAAAACGTAAAATACTAGTTTTATACTCGAACGAGAATTTTTGATCAGTGCTGATTTGTGTATTTTCTCTTTATTACTTGTTTTGTTTGTCTACCAGTTGTTTTCTTTCATTATAGCAGATCATTCTTGATCGTTGGTTTTCTGGTTAATTGCTACCATTCCTAACCATAAATGCGAGTTATCGCTCGTTACTTTTCTATATAACTTTTTCTACTGCGAGCTAACTGCTGATTTTCGGTAACTGTACGTTTCGATTATTCGAACTGCGCTAATTTGAGTCCTTCGAATCGCCGTCATTCGGTGCTATTTATATAGCATGATTTTCAGGTTCAAAATTTGATAAGTCCTTTACTGGATGATACCTTACATAGAGTCTATTATATACGTTTCGAATCACGCTCGATCTGTCTTCAGAGGCATATTTTCTGTCTAAGCAGCTTCTTCATTGAGTCATATCAGGATGTTGGTGCACGACCGAGTAAAAATCTGTTGCCGAGGGAAATCTATTTGTTATCTCGGGTTGTTTTTCAGACGAGCCCAATGACCATCCATTTATCGGTTCAAGTTTGTACATTAAAAAATCGTTGTACACCGAAAAATCACCATTGGAACATAGCGTCGAAAGGAGATCTAGCATATTTTTGTTTTCATCGCCCTTTGCTTTACTAAAACATGATTTTCGTCAGCCTTGGTAGTACACCAGCACTTAGCGCCATAAATCATGCCATGTAGGATTGAATAGTTCTTTCTTCGTTGGGTATGGACAGTTCGTTATTCAGTGGCGCTGTTCTGATATGTTTGAAAATTGCTTATTTCACCGTTGATGTTGTTATTGGAGTCTAGTATGTGACCGCACGAGTTATGCATAGGTAGAGAGTCATTGAGGATGTTGCCCTCGTGGCAGCGCTCGTCATGTCACTGGAAATATGTTCTTCACCAGACTAATGTTCTTCTTTTGGCGAAGATCATGACGTTTTCTGGACATATGCCTTAGCCGTAGTCCGTCAGTATCAGTGCTGTCATCCCAGTTCAGATGGTTAAAGAATGAGTTTATCCCCATCGCGAGATGCTCGAAAGAGATTTTGTCTTCTTGGCGTACTCGTCGTTTGACATTAATTCTACTAAGTTCCTAGTACGGCTTAATGTTTCTTGTGATGTCGGTACTCAGGTCCTCGAGGTCGATGTAGATAGGTTGATACATACATATACATACATAGATTCGAACACTTTTCTGACATCGGTAGATGCGTAGCACAGGGGAATTGGCATTCGTTGCACTTCTCTGATGACTGCTTCACAACGTGAATGTTGTCTATGCTGAAGAACTCCGTTCGGAATATAACTTGTTCATTATTAACTACCAGTTTCAAGATTTGCCGGATATGTTTAAGGATTACTGGTTAAAGACATTGTACACATAAGAAATGAGAGTAATGTCGTGTAAACAGCTCTTCCATGTTTCTTACTTCTTCGACAGCCTGTTGTAGTCTGTAAATCGGTCGGCAATGATTTAATCACGTTGATTTCTCTTGATTTGATATGTCCAGTTTTAAATTTGCGACTCTTGATTTTCTTGGACAAAGTGCTGCAGCTTCCCGGTTACCTCTACTTTCAAGGAGTGTAGTTTGTAGAACGTCATGCAGATCGCTTTCATGAGACCGAGATCTGTAATTCTTAATACTCCTTCGTCCTTTATGCTATTAGAAACTGGTTTTTTCGGACCATGCTTGTTTCTGCGGCATTCAGGCAATATCTGTTTTATGGGGCCTGTTGTATTTGCCTGCTCATGTATTCATAATAGTCCTCCTCAATCTTCTTCCGTATTTCCTTGCGCCACGCAGTCTACTTATGTTCCAGTTACCTATCAACCTTCGTTCTGGTGCTTCTGGAAAATGGCTGCCTCGTTGCAGGGCTGGCGCGTTGCCGTCTTTGGCATTGCTGCTCGGCTGGATGACCGGATGGTGGATTTGATCGTGGCGTCGAGGCCTGAGCTGGTATCTCTTCTGAGGTTCAGCTCTGAAAACGTGTCTACGAAGTTTCAAGGTGGTTTCTGAGCTCTTCTAAAGCGATTTTCTTGAGCATCATCGATTGTGAATGCGAAACGGAGCCACCTGGTTACGTTTCCAATAGACGAGGTTTTCTCAAATGACAGTCACATCTCTTATTGCACGCTTTTTGTACGTCAACAGGTAGTCTATTTGGTTAAGGATCGTGTCGTTAGGGATTCTTCACGTTCACTGCCTCTTCTCGGCTTTTTGAAAAACGCTATAAACGGGTAGCCGCGTTTGTTTCAGTCTCCACTTCTAAATAGGTAGTTGAAACGCTCTGTGTCGATCTTTCGGTTTCCCGTTGAAATCGGCGTTGAAATCTCCTTCGACATTGTGCTTTCCTGGCCTTCGTAGAATTGCTACGCATGTTCATCGTCCGCTTGCTGTGTTGGACAGTAAATGTCGATTATCTGTAGTGACTTTGTTTTGCCCACCTGCAGACTTAGGTGGGCGAAACGAGGTGACATGAGGATGAGGTCACAGTTGACTTCGAGGGGCAGAGCCCCCTTCCTTACAATGAATCATGCACCATCTGTCCAAACTCGGATTTTGCAGATTTTCCTGAGGAAGATTTCGTCACCGTTCTTTCATTGTGCGGATCTTCGGTTTCGAACACTTTCAGAACATCTGCTTTCATCTTCTTCATCTTGTGGGCTAGCCAGGAAGATATTGACGATGTCCTTTTGCCGTTTGCCATTCGCCTCCTGAACATCACGGCTTCGTAAGTATGGCGTTTGGCAACCGGACGTGTGGTAGCTTACACTTACTGCCACGGAATTCTTCTGCACGTAAAGTTTTTTTTCACGAGTTTCATCAGCAGTTCATTGAGGATGCCGACTTTCGTTAACTATTGCTTTCGTCTTCCACATCTTTCAACTAACTCACTAAAGGAGGCGCTTGATGAGCTCTTAATCGCGGTGG